AATGTACACTGGTGACAATAATAGATACGCTTTAAGTTGACCAGTTTTGGCCATATTTCTTTTGTTTATTTAATATTTAAATTTTTTTTTAAATGTGTAGCTCAATATAAATATAATACCTTGCGACAGGCAATTTTGCACACAAAAAAATAATATATTCGCCAAACCAAGGGCCATATATAGCAAAATTGCGTTCTTAATTTTTCTCTCTGACGTCAGGATCTTTAAAAAAAACTTTGAAATTTGAAAGATATGAGTAATTCAAAAAATGATGTAACCATTTCAGAGCAATATACTTAAAAAAATAGTATGGGTGTCAAATGAAAAAGAAGAATCTGTAGAGTTAAAACACATTACATTTTTGGGTGCGTAAGGGACGGGTAGGTATTGAAAATACCCTTTTATAATTGTATCCTGGAATATCCTTGAAATTTTACAATTTTTATTTTTGAAAAAATTATATGTTAAGCACTAACTTTATTAGCTTAATCAAATAAGATGGATTAAAGGGGCATTTTCAATTCACATTCGTACTTGTAAACCCAAAAAAAATATATCATTTGGTACCCATATTTTTGTTTTACATTGCACTGAATTTTTTTAATAAATTTTGGAATTAATCATATATTATATGCAGTTAATTATATGTAATATGAGGTAGACTTTTTTAAAAAAATGTAAATTTTGAATAAACAAAAGGGATATGAATTAAGGCGGCGGCGGAAATTCGATGTTAATGCGGGTTTCCAAGTAAACGAAATTATCTACTTTCTCGAAATTATAACTGTCAACAGTGTCGTGGGTGCCAAGGCTTGAATGTTCTGAATGTTTGTTTGATGGCAGGAGATACTTCGTCTTGTCCTCGTTGACAAGCAAACCCATTCGATTTACTAAATTATCCAACTTGAAAAAGGCAGAACAGACTTCGCGCGGATCTTTTGTTGGTGTTGTAGCGGCTACAACAACCCCACCCAGATCGGTTAGTCTTTAAATCGTTGTCGTCAAGCTCTACCAGCGGTAGCCCCAGCAAGCGTGCAGCCTCGACGTGATCTGTCCATAGGGACAGGGGCGTTAGTGAGGTGGGATTCAGAGGGCATACGAAGAAATGCTGTGAGTCATGGGGCGACTCTCCGCCTGCCGGGAATTCATTAGGAACATCTTCATTTAATCTAATCACGTATGAGTTCAAACTGCAGCAGTAACCAGAGCGCAGTTGGGCTATTGTGGTCCGAGTCTCCCGAGGCAGACGAAGTTCTGTCTCGTCCACGTCTGGTGGTTGTATGCCAAGAACGGCATTCACAGGTCGGGAGTCTATATAACTCGAGATTGTCTCTCTGTGAATGCCCTTCAGGGCCTGTCGATAAGCTGACGGGTCCAGAGGTTGTTTGATGAACCACCAGCACTGACTATTGTTAGGTCTGGCGAGCTGCAGCAGCTACCCATAATCCTGGTGTGTGCGTCGTCGTTCATTGTGCAGAATGTTAAATCGTCTATCTGCTCAGCCAATTGTGGTCCCCTACGATCCGGTTTTCACCTCTGAGGAGCGCACCTATTTCAGACTGCTATCCTGCCGGGCAGCTGGTGACAGGGGGTATATACACGTCAAATATTTCAAGCTCTACATCGCCTGACCGGATAGAAATCCCCTGACATTCTAGAATGGTATCCCTGCGGTCGATGTCTGCTTCGATAAGACGATACTGCACGGTGTGGTGCGTGATGAACGCTAGGCCACCACCATTATCTCGCTCATGATCTCGAAGGTGCACGTCGTATCCGGCGCAATTCAACAATGTTGAATTGCCGTGAATGTTCCTCTCTTGGACCGCAGCTATTAATATTGCGTGCAGACCCATGAAAACTGCTATCTTCTCGATCTTGCTCTGAAGTCCGCTACAGGTAAATTGTAAAATCTTCGTGTGCCTAGGGAGACTTATTGGGGCGTGGGGTGTTAGTGACGTGTGTTGCCGGGCCGCCACTTGCTGCTGCTGAGGCTGTTGCCCTGTGGTATTAGTGGGCGGCATCGCAGTTCTTGTTACCGACGGTGTCGATGTCATCGGCGTACGAAAGAAATTCCACGCCCTTATAGTAAATTTTTCCTGAGCGGTTCGGTTCTGCTGCTCTTTTTATCTTCTCCAACATCAGATTAAAGAAAACATGAAAGGGAGTCGCCCTATCTGAAACCCCGTTTGGTAGCAAACGTCTCCTAGAGGTCTTTTCCAATTCTGACGGAGCTGATGGTATTGATCAACGTCATTTTACTCAGCCGCATCAGTTTCGAGGGCATGCCAAATTCAGACATTGCGGCGTATATAAAGGTAACTCCTTTTAATGCTGTCGAAAGCGACTTTGTAGTCGACAAATAGATGGTGAGTGTTGATGCTTTTCTCGCTACAATTCTACATACTAATGGCCTTATTCATAAAAAATAAAGTAGCTTTAAAAAAGGTTTATAAACTGAAAAATGTATGAAAACGTCATTTTATAAAGCTCTTTAAACCTACTTTATTTTTATGAATAAGGCCATAAGAATAAAAAGTTCTACCAATTTTAGTTCAAAAATCAAAAATAAAAGCAACATTTTATTCCCAAACTCCATTACCAATATTAGTTTCGGCTCTTATTATTATTTAAACTTTCACTCGACATATTTCCGCAGACGGGTTCGGTTTTGCATGGTTATCGTCTTCGTTTTACTGCTGACTGCCATTGTCAAACATTGTTCATTTTTGTACGTACAATGTACATACATATGTATGTATGTAAATAGAAGCGTATGTATCCAAAGCCAATAACTTTTGAGAAATTTGTATTTGCAATGTTGGCGCGCAAACCGCCGTTCGGCGACACATTTGCAATAAGGAGCAGGGCTTCCTCTGTGATACCACCAGACCACGCTCTGTTTGTACACACATACACACATATGTAAGATTGTTGGTGCATGTGTCCCGCTACTAAAAAGTTTATTTTCTGCATAAACTCAAGGGAAGTGTGTCAGACGCATAGTGATTATCCTTTTTGCCATTTCGAAGGCTTGTCTGCTCGCCACTGTGACATCTGTGCTGCCCAATGCTTTAGCGATCTTAAAGCACTGCAATACATAAAACCAATAGTGCAAATGTTGTTTCATTTTTGCAACAGATTGTGCACACACTTAGTGAAAGCTCATGCAAAAACAATAACGAACCCATATCAAAAAATACATAGAAAAGAGTGGACGCACATCATTATCAGCGACTCAACCTCAGAGCAGCCAGCCATTCCTTATTGGGTTGAAGGGCCCGACAATCAAAATTGAGTGGTTGCTGTTGTTGTTGTTGTGTGCTATTTGAGCGACCGACAAAAAAGCAAAAACCGACCTCTAACGAAATTAAACCAGTTAAAAAGAGACAATGCTATGATGCGCTGCATAATGAGAAGCTGTCGCGAGTAGACGACAACAACAAGCGACGACAACAAGTCGAAGGGATGAGTGCAAACGACAGGATTCAGAGTGACAAGGCTAACAGAGCAGTAGCGCAAAAATGTTGCCCTCCTTGTTTAAGTGCTGCTGCAAGGATATCTGTGGGCACATATGTATGTATATATATATATATGTATGTAAGTATGTACATAAGTATGTATATCACATACGATTGCCTGTGTTGCACGGCATTGATGCTTCATTATATTCCACATTATTACTAGGATGGCTAACGATTCGTGGTCTTGCTAGCACCCTCCGCAAAGAACATGTGCTCTTACATATAAACACATGCCCACTGTGTGCGCGCTTAGCCAGTTGCTACCAGCAGCAGAGGCCAGCTCCGCACCACCAGAAATCTGCACACAGTGAATGTGGTTGTAGCTCAGCAGCAGCATTGAAGCGCCGCCACCCACCACCGCCCAAACGGACAACCAACAGGGCAAGAGCGAGCGCGGAAAGTGCTGCGAGCCCGTCGAAGTGGGCAGCGAGCACATGATCCTTAATTTCGTTATCATTTTAAGTTTGATCGCCCGCGTATAAGCGCGTACCTCCGAATCGAGACATTGAGGTCGTACCACCCGCGCGACAGCTCAGCAAGTCACATAACAAGAACAGTTTTCGCAGCAGAGTAAAAAATCCGAAGGATACATTTGCATACATTCGCTAGTTGGCGTGCGGCACGGTGCAGCAGATTGCGATAGAGTTAAACGCATCCGAAATTACATTATTGTTATTACCCCCTCTCAAGAAGAGGAAATCGAATTTTCATTATTTGTAAACATTAGAAATTGGTCTGGTCTCCGTAGCCCGTCGAAGAGTGAAGATTTAGTAGAGCGCGCGTGTGAAGGGTTTCCTTGCACCTTCTACATATGTATGTATGCAAAGATATACATAAGTATTTGTGTTGAGAGATTTTGGCATTAAATTGACGCGATTAGAAAAGTTTACCGAGCCCAGTCTCGCTCCTGCACGAACATTGGGAAGAAAGACTAGGCGACTTATACCAACTTAGACCTTCTGTGTACTGTAGTCTGACGGTGCGCCGACCAGAAAGCGAGCTCAGTTGCTCAATGTGTTTGTGTGTAAAATAGTTCGGGGTTTGTGATTATTTCAACTATTCGCCAGTTGCTCACTCGGCATAGACATCGAGGCGCCAGTGTCGGTAACGCGTCGGTCATTTGACGGACAAAATAGAAAGCAGCAAGCGGATATAATCATATATAAATGTGCTTAGGTATATACATATATAAATATGTATGGGTACATGCATACATGTATCCACTTACTAAATACCTATTCGAATGCCTTTATAACTGTAATTGAAATTGAAATTAATTAATTGCGTTAGCCGCAAAATTCGTGGATCGAGCCGAATACCGAACGCTGCAGACAGTGGTCTATGTGAAGTGATTATTTTTTTCGTTGTTGTTGTAACGAATAATTGCCCAACTTTTTCGCGCGCGAGTGTATTGAAAGTTTGATCCAAAAGGATTAAATCGATACCCGGCAGTTACGCACCAAACCGTTCCAATAATCCAACCTAGTCCGTTTTCAGCTGCCTAGTATCATTGATTTTTTCAAGACGTATATCGATACGCGCTTCTACACCGGCCACAAGTTGGATTTCAAACAACATAGTTGTGCCGGCGGCCCTTTATCTGGTGGTGGTGGCGTCGTCGGCAATACCAATTCAAATTCCCATCAGGTACATCACATACATCAGCCTCATCTGCCCAACAGCAATCCGTCTGCCCACATATCACCGCATCATTCCATTTTACATACGCATCACGCCGGTACCGCTGCCGTTTCGCACGCATCCGCCCAATCGCACGTCGCCGCCGGCTTGCCACATAGCGGCCTACCGCCTGTAGGGCAGCAACAGCCAGCCTCAGCGGCAACTGCTTCCCAACTACAAGCGGCACATCAGCAGCAGCAACAACACCAGCCTTCGCAGACACAGAACCAGCACCAGTTGATAACGCCGACTTCCGTCGGCTGTGCGACAAGCAACGGCAGCACCACTTCTGGCAGCGGCAGCAGCGCGATCGGCTCCAATTCCGTATCCTCGCTAGTCATAGGCAACGGTCCCGCTTCGGGTGGAAATAACGTCCATTCTATTTCATCAGCGGCTGCCTCCGTTTCAACGGCTTCTTCCTTACCTCACATCGTTCCAACCAGTCTGGGACTAAGCCCGCAATCGAGCGCTGATTCCCAGCAGTTCAATATATTCCCGGCTATTTTTAGCCGACAACTCAACTTCACGACTGGAACTTGTGGTCAAAGTAAGCTCACAATGGACGAACTGCGTCCAAATTTGGTTGGCGGATTGTTGGGCTTGCAGCAAGGCTTATTGGATGACCATGCGGTCAATATGCATAATGCCGCTGCGTCGCAGGACACAAAGTTCATGTCGTTTCAAGATAATCGCTTAATGGGAATTTCTTCATCACATGAAAACCGTCTGCTAGGTCTGACCTCCTCGATGCAAGACACCCGCTCCTCACTTAACTCCATTGACAAAGGTTCACTTAATCATCAGCGCAAATGCAGCAGCACACCCGAGGATTTTAGCTCATTGTATTCTGGTCTGCCTACACCTGGCATGGACTCGTCTTCACATCATCATACGCCCGCGCATACGCCGCCTACGCGCCTTTCTGACCATTCGATATCCGGTAATTAAATACTTTATTGCACATTGCTTATTTAAGAGCAACAAATCAGTCATGAATGAATGAATGAATGCCCATTCAAAGTACGAGGGGACATTTGTGGTGGTGAAAGTAGTTGTTTAGCATTCGAGTGGTCAATTTAATCCTTTCTTTGAAACTATTGCACATTTCGTTATTCCCCTGCCATAACATTCACACTTTCTGCATAGCCTTTCATGTCGTTTTCCTAATCCGCTGATCGAATAGAAGCCAATAACTGATGCGCATAGGGAATAGCGACTAAACATATACATATATGTGTGTGTGTGTGTGTTGGTAGATGTTGTGTGCGTTGTCTGCCGGACGTTTCCCTGCAAAAAATGGGACTAATCCGGGATGACTCCGTGAGCAATCGCAAAGGAACATGCGACTAATACCACTTTTGATCTCTTTATATGGAATGAACTGATCGCTTTTGTTCGAGCATGTCCTATGAAGAGACTAATTGTTCACCTTTATACCCGAACGGGTATAAAAAGCGACTAGTCACTTTTAAAAAATAAAAATAAAAATTTGCGCCGGCTGAGATTCGAACCGGGGTGCTCAGTTTTGTTAGGCGAATACTCTTTCTGCGTGCCAACGCCGCACATGAAATTCCATTGACTAAGTGCGTACATATCATTAAATCGTTAATAGTACCCGTTAGGGATGAGTTGGGGACTAATTGATCTCCAATTATACCCAAAAAGGGATGCGTCGAGACTAATTGATCTCCATTAGTACCCATATTAGACTAGTTGCGACTAATTAATGCCCAATTGTACCCGATTGAGAGTAATGTCGGAATACTCTCTTTAGAGATTAGTCGCACAATTTTTTGCAGGGTTTGTTTGTGAATTGGGCACACGCGCCAGAGATTATCGCGATTGTTGGTGACTGCTAAGCAAAGTATCGCAATTATCTTCTCAAATAGTAGAAGTAACAATTGCACCTTTTACTGCTGTGAAATTGAAGACTCCGATGGGAGTGCGTAGAAGGTGTGAAAAATGTATGTATACATGCCTTTGTTAGCGAAAAATTAAAAACTATCCAAAAGGGGTATGAAAATATTTATGTTCATAATTTGTCAAAGACTTTCGCATATCGTCGTTTAAAGTACAAAACCGCGTATCAACAAAATGCAAAACAGCGTATCAAATAATGCAAAACCGCGTATCTGAGTATGTGAGGTTGCATAAATATTTTTCTAGAAAGTAAAAACACTCATATTTCAAAATGGTTCTCTTTTTTTATAAAGCAATCGCATTTCTGGCTAGTATATTTCAGGACGAATGGATAAGGATTGAGCCAAGAGCTTGTGTGAGCAAATCCAATTTTTGGCAGCAAATGTCAGTTACGCGGTTTTGCGGAATGACGGTACGCGGTTTTATACTTTAAACGACGATACGATTGCAAGAATTTGGACGAAACAGAATTTTTCATTAAAATAAAAAGTTTGCGCCGTGCAGCGTTGCCGTTTTGCTTAAATATAAGCAAAATTGGTTAATTTTTTCCTGCCTGTTAAAATGTTAAATTTTTCTTTGTTTTGCTAATTTTTTTATCACAATAGTCAAAAAGGAACATTTTCTTCAAAAATGCATAGTCAAAAGAGTTACCATTTCATTCGAATTATCAATTTTATTTTAGAAATACTGTCATCCAGATCCCGTATAAAGTTCCAGGAAATGTTGCTTTACGCAACGCCCGATCCGCGGTCGTCGCAATTTCAAACCTCCGAGTGTACTTCTGACATCAGATTAATGAAATGTAGTTATTTAAAAAGAGGTTACTACTGAAATCGAGATAATTAGGGCCTTTTTGAAATGTATGTCGCTTTCCTCTTTTACATATTAAATTTGTTCCAGAATTGTAACCAATCGTTAATTTGTACTACTGACACTCATTTCAAAGAGACAGAAAAATTGCCGAGGGAATTTGTTCAGTCAACATTATTTATCAGTTAAAAAATGCTCCTGTTACACTTTAGAGAATCCTAAAACAAAAACTTCAAACCAGTGGAGCTCAACAATTTAAAAGCAGTTGTGTTTTAAGTTGTAATTAAAAATTTATTTAACAATTAATAATCGACTTTCATTAACCCATATGGGTGTTTCCATCGGAAGGTCCACCACGACAAAAAAAAATAAAAGTCTTATATCTAACGTATTTACGGGCCGATTTGTCTGCTTTTTAAAATATATACTGGCTATGTAAGTAGAATCATGTTTGCGTAAAATGGTCTTCCTAGGTGGCGCCAAGGTTGAGATATTTCGAAAAACCGTATTTATGGTCCGATTTGGTTCGAATTTGGCGTATGTAGTTGAAACATAATAAGTCATAGATTTCCAACAAATTCACCCTGAATTGGCGCTAAAGTCAAAATATAAAGTATATTCTACATAAAATACATGTTTTATTTGCGTTAAAAATCCATTTAAAAGCAATATTAACAAAAATATAACTACGGAAATTTATGTCACGTGAGGCTACGTCACGTGACGTATCACACTTGGGGTTGTAAAAGAAAATTGAAACAAGTTGCATTAATTAAAAAAACTCTAAAAACAACTAGAATTGCTCCAAATCATATTAAAATAAGTTTCATGAAAATAGCCATCCACAATTCGCAGAGTTTTGCGATTTTGTAAGAAAAGAAAAAATCAACTTCCATTTTTCGTCACGTAACGACACTCTCTTTAAATGCTTATATTTCAGGACCAAGCAGTTCGATTGTTTTCATTTTTCGATTAAATATAGAGCTAATTATGTGCTATACAATGGCCAAAAAAGTTAAAGAAAACAAATGGTATTCCTTTTTTGTATCACATTGAAACGTACGACTGTCACGTATGCGACGTATGGAAATACCCATATGCAATTCGAGTTCCCTTTGGTTTTGTAATGTGTGGTCATATTTATTATTAGCAATTTATGTAATTTTGTTTGTTATTGTTAAAAAAGTACAATAAATAAATAAATTTGCGTTTTTTACCCGAAATTGCATTTTTTTTGGGTTAAATTGACGATTTTTCAGCGAAACCTTTCGACAACGCTGACCATCACAGCCAATAAGCGTTTTAAAAAAGTTTTCGCTCTTCATCAGAGCAATGTTTGCCTCGTCCTATTGCCAAAGAAAACTTAAAATAATTTTTTATGAGAGAGCCATAAAAATTTTCAGAAAAATTAATTTATTACCTGTTTTTGAACTTTTATTGTGTAAATTTTAATAGAGCTTTGCACGTGATGATTCGAACCAAACCAAACTAACCAAATTACCAGTGAATTGCAAAAACTATTTAATAAAATATAAATGAAATCGTAGGAAATCAAAAATATATTTTCGTGGCTAAAATCTGCTTCAAAACTCACGTTCAAATCATTCCAATCGGCGTGCGTCTGCACTAGATTATGCGATGTAATTATCGAAGTGGAAGTCATATTTTATTATGCATAATATGCCACTTCGGATTATGGTTAATTGACTGGTCAAATTAAAGAAAAAAGGGTTCTTAAATGGTTAAAAAGAATCTTTTTTTTTTTGCAAAAATGTAAACAAAGGATGTGCGAACAGCTTTGAATCCACAATCAAAAAAACGCGTTTTCAATCTGTTTTCGATGTCGGCTCGAACATGGTATTAAACTAACGGAATCTTGCAGTTGCAGTAATAAAAGACTTCTTTAAATAGAAAAGGCGATAATCACTGCTTGATGATTGTTTCTACTACTATTTTCAACAGCAGCTGTAGTTATAAGTTGCAAGTTCTTTTGAAGAAGTCAGTTTTTATTTCCGAAAATCGAACTTTCCGATACTACTTTGGTCTGTTTACACGGTCAATGCACAAAATTTCCACTGCAGTTTAAGTGTGCTCTTGCCCAATCCACAAAAAAGGAGGACCCGCCGCACGCGCTATCTACCGCGGAATCAACCTTCTAAGCATAGGCCCCAAGGTCTTATCGAGCGTACTTATGTGGACTTTTCAGTGTGGCTGTAGACCTGGCAAATTTATCATACACAAGGTATTCACCATACGCCAAATCTTCGAAAGACTCGCGGGAAGAGCATAAACACTCACAATTTATTTGCCTCTTTCAAACAGCACGAAAGCCTCTTTCGACAGCACGAAAAGGAGTTGCCTATACGCTGCGATATCCGAATTTGGTATATCCGAAAAACTAATACGGCTGTGTAAAATAATGTTGAGCAATACCATCAGTTCCGTCAGAATTGGGAAGGATCTTTCTCAGCCGTTTGATACCAAACGAGGTTTCAGACACGAGCGTACAAATGCTTGCGTATGCTGATAATATCGACATCATTGGTAATAAATAGAATTATTGTTTAAAAAACTAAGAACTACGCTACACTACGTCACTTGAGAATGGAAATCGCTGCATCTCTTAGACGCATCATTATTACATAGTTACACCTCAAGCTAATAAAATCGAGGTAAAAAGGCGAAGTCTGTTCTGCCTTTTCCAATATGGATATGGAATCAAATCGAAATTTTAACCAAAAGTTTTCTCACAATTCCAATTCGCTTGGCATTTTAGTGTTAAGTGCCTTTTGATGCAGAGCTAATAAATAAAAGAAATTCAATTTGAATATTTCAATAATAACAAATAATAACTCATTTTATTTGCTGATATACAAGGCCGTATGCTTATATTTGCGGTGACCATATTCTTCGCTGCAGGACCTTTTTATAATAATTTGGTTTTAGGTACATCCATACATACATATATATGTATATATGAGTGCCTGGCTCGGACCAACAACAAATAAAAACAAGTGCATAATTAAAAAAGGATAACGTCGTTTAAAGTACAAAACCGCGTATCAACAAAATGCAAAACCGCGTATCAAGATAATGCGAAACCGCGTATGTGACTTATGTAAATTATCTTCTAGAGGGTAAAAACACTCATATTTCAAAATGGCTCTCTTTTTTATAAAGCAATCGCATACCTGGCCAGTATATTTCAGG